TTTGCGATTTAATTTGGAAACACCCTGTATATATATATATATATATATGTATATAATACTTTTATTTGTTTCAAAATAAACGCTTACAAAAAATTTGTGAAAAAATTCACAAAAATTATCAAAATCTAGTAGAATCATTCTAAAATGATCATCCATAGAGTAAATTTAGAAAACAGCTCGCCCTATTTGGGAGTCAAAAGGTTAAAATTCTTATAATTAGAAAATATTGTTATGATTGTTATAATGGTAATTAAATTAGGATAAACACCAAATTCATTATTTTATATAAATTTGTCTGTGTTTCTTGTGTGTGATCATAGCCTACCATTTCAAATTGCTATTATTATACAATATATTCTTATTCTGTTACACAATTATATAATAACACGAGTGCGAAAGACTAAAACAATATATAATATTAATATAATTCAGATAAAATTTAGTATTAGATGTTGAGAATTTGAAATAACAGAATAATGCTTTGATAGTCAATTTTTGCAGTGTACATGATTAAGCTTTATTTTAATTGCACTAAAGGATAAAAATGTTTATAAAGAGATGCATATATTATAATAGAATATACTAAAATAATTTATTCTTTATCATATTTTCCTCAATGCACAAAGTATACAATAAAAAAGATTCGTAGAAAGACAAAATTCTCACAAAATTGCAAACGACACACGATTACCTAAATACTTCAGAAATCTAATTCTCCTCTAATTCAATTATAATTCAAATGTTCATCAAATGTTATGTCAATTTTGTCTTAAATTTGTAAATCGATTTAAATATGCAACAATGAAATAGGTTCTTGTGATAAATATAAAATTTTGTCATTTACAAATATAATCAATTCCTTAATTACTAACATAAATACACTCAAGATAATATTTATTTTTTCGCTGTCATACATTTAATAATCGCATAGATTAATCGCCGAGTTTAATTTATTATAGTGTATCTTTTGTAAACTTTGTAATGTAATAATGATCAAGAAAAAAACATAGCATTAGCTATTGATCACACTCTAACGTCGTTTTATGTATTTGGATATTTCTTGCACAAATAAATTCTTGAATCTTTTCGCAATACGTATTTATTTATTCTTTCGAATACAAGATATTCATAATAAAAGATAAATATTAAAATGTTTTATAAATTAGGCACGATTATTTTATTTATCTTAATGTGGTACACCTGAATTTCTCCTTTGTCACTTTTTTCTAAATATCAATTGTGTTACAGTGTTTCCTGTCTGTCCGCCAAATTGGAATGTATCCGTAGGAAGTTGACTATCGAGTTCAAAATCTGCGAACAATAATCGCGTTAATGCACATGCATCCGAAGAGATCTTTGTAATATTTCAAAGATAATGACGTGAAAGCAATAATTTTTTTGTGAGAAAAACACGTCTTTATTAACCAATCGAAGAAATCGTAAATAAATGCACGCGCGTGATATTTGATAGAATATATTTCAATAAATTAAGTAATATAAAATAATAACAATTATATGACATATAATTAGTATTTCGACTAATATTTAATGATTTATACTTTAACTATTTAAAATACATACATATTAACCTTAAATACACAACAACAGGTCATTTGGATTCGAAACGAAAATTTTTAGATGGTGTACAATCTGTATAATTAGTATTAAATTAGCTTGAAACAAAAGTTCGTAGCTTTATTTTATTTGTAACATGTTTACATGTTTTTAAAAAAATTTAGTAATTGTACCATTCGATACCATTCAACTTTAAGAATCCTTTTTAATTGCGGTACAATGATTTTTAATAGAGTTTGATCAAAGTGCTTCTTCTATTTAAATCGTGATAATTAAAAAAAATATCTTAGGAAAATAAAAAAAAAGTTTTTGTAGGAAAAATTTTAAGTTTTTACATTAGAAAGATTTTCACAGAAAGTAAAAATTTTCGCAAACTTTTTTGCACTTAACAGATCACAAAGTAAAAAAATTTTCTATTTTGTCCAGCTCGTTGTTTTCTTTATATAAAAGTTTTCTATATGTAAAAGTTAATAAACTCACAGAAACTGAAAAGACATAGTAACTTTTTCAAAGTAGAGATTTAGCTTTAAAACCCTTTTCTTTAATTTAAACTTCGTTCATTTTTAACGAAGTTACAGCTGTTCAAATTTTGAAATTCGTAGCACTACGAACTTTTGTTTCACCCCAATACTATGTGAGGCTCTAAATTGTAGGTAAACAATTTAAACCTTCCTCTATTAATTACCGTAAAACGGAGGTTCACTTGCATTCTATACTTCAAATAGGATGCTTTAGAACTTAAGTGTAGTTATCATAGCTGTAGTGTGTTGAGGGTTAAAATTTTAATTAATAATTGTACTAACGATTCGCAAAATGCTTCAGCAATTCTTCTTTGGTCCAGTTACAGGACGTCAAGATGAAATATCCTCCTGGCAAAAGGATGCGATATATATTTTCTATATATTTTTGTCTCTTTGCCATCGGATCTTCTGGATTTATACTAATAGCGTCGTAAGTGCCTTTATCATGAACGACTTTAAAATCATGTGGCAATGTGTTGTTGAGTATATCGCAGATCTCTATTTTTACATTCGGTAAATTGTTATCGTTCAACACTATGCGGGCCAGATCTATCCCTTTCTGTGAGTAATCCACCCCTGTCAAGTTCGCGAATCCTTCTCTTGCGAGTTCCACCAAAGTCATTGCATTACCGCATCCTACGTCGATTATCTTATCGCTCTCTTTGTTTAAATCCAATTTCGTGGCAATCCATCTAGAAAATAACTTCTTTCATATCAATTCTAAAATTTTTGGAGCTATACGAGCAACAATTTTCATTTATTTTTATTTATTTTTGTTTATTTTCAATATCTTAAAAAAATAATGGAGATTATATTTTAGATTAAGTTTTAGAAAAAATTAATCAATTTTTTTTTAGTACGGAATTTTTCTCTACATATTAAATTAAAAATATTAATTATCACATAAAAATTTATTTGTTTCACGTACATAATGTTGTACTAATAAAGACGATAAAATTTTATATATGATTATTAACCATTCTAATCATTACCAAAGGAATAAAAAAATTATAATAAATATCAAATCTCAATTAATATTTAATAATTACTTTTAATTTTAATTTATTATGTAAAATATTTTATATGAATGAATTTTATGATATATGATCTTTTAGATTTTTAATTATTTTATTAATTATAATGTTTTGCCAAAATAAGAAAGGAAAGAAGTTTTGTTTATTTTCTTGTATAACTACATATTTAAATATTCTTGACGCTGTCATGTTGTATCTGTTCTATTTATTTAAATGCGTAACATATTTATTAATATTAAGAATTATCAAAGCAGTCAAAATGACCTCTTTAAAATCTTTTATATAAGAATTATTTAAATTTATAATGGTACATTATATTGTAATATATAAATAATTAATTTGATCAATTTACTTTCCCTTCATCCCATTTTTCAGAAAAATAAAGAATATAGAAATAGTATAATATACTTAAGTAGTAGAAATAGACAGAGATAAATCAATCGTCGGTAGTTTTAGTATTAATATGTTAGAAAGAAAAAAATTATTAATCAACAATCAACAAGTTTATTATTTCTAAATCTAGCTAACATTTATCCGCAGTAGAAAAGGCTATCGCGAGACCGACGCCGGAGACTGAAACGTTATCGACGGAGAAGACAAGACTCGGTCTCGCAGATGTCGCCACCAGTGCCGCGCGGAGAACAGTCTCGATCGCGTCGCGGCTGTTTTCGTTTCCGCGGGAAAGCCCATCGATTTTCCGCGGTGCTATTTACTTGCGGTACGACCGGTGACACGAGACGCGTGTTCGCGTGCCGGTCTTCCTGGCTTTGCTTACCGTACGACCTTGCGCGTGTTGGCCGCGCCGAACCATATCTCGCCTACGTCGCCGTGATCGTGGAAGTTGTCGAGTTCCTGCGCGTACACGTACTCCCAGCTGCGGCAAGAGCGAACAACAGAGGATCAGAAAAGCGGCGAGTGATGCACAACGGGTGTTGCGCAGTTACGGTACGTATTACTTACAACTCTAGAGTACCCAGCTCCGACGATGTCAACTCCTCGCCCGTCCGCTCTGTCATCATTCCACTGTGGTTCGTTGAAGTCTTACGACAATGCTGGATAAATGCCGATCCAATCGGGTTTGCGAAGCACGAGAGATCTGCTCAGACGGTATCAAATTAAAAAAAACCGAGTAATCGCGATCGATCAGTAAATTGTGTTATCATAAAACAGAGAATTAGATAAGCTAATTTAACAAGCAGAACTTATTTCATAAACCGGTTTAATAAAATCGTGAACGTAGGACTTCGTTGCTACAAACACGACCAGGTGGCAGCACCGTTGAGATATTCTTGGCGACAAATGCACGTTGCTTTGTTAGTAAATAAATAAAATATGCGTTTGTTAAAAGCCACAGTTAAAGCAAAATATTTTATATGAATGAATTTTATGATATATGATCTTTTAGATTTTTAATTATTTTATTAAATATATTTTGCCAAAACAAGAAAGAAAAGAAGTTTTGTTTATTTTCTTGTATAACTACATATTTAAATATTCTTGACGCTGTCGTGTTGTATTTGTTCTATTTATTTATTTTTAACATGTTGCACAGTTAGTGCAGATGTTCATAGCGCTATCTGGTAGCCGTAATGTTAAATGCAAGCAAAGTGCCAATTTCTTGGATTTGGAGGATTTATCCACGTTGCAAAAAAATTTTTATGGTTTTTCGTGAATTTATTTACTTCAAGAATTTATTTTAAAAATTTATTTCAGAAAAGATGCATTTTTGCCATACAATATAATATAAATATAATTGTGCAATAAATATGTAAAAGAAAAATCGAATACTTACTTACGTTTAACTGTTTGTTCAAATGATTTCTATTCGCTGAAACTGTCGTTATTTCTTTGAGAAAGTCAATTTTGTAGAATTAGAAATTTTGATTGATTTAATAAATCGTATTTGTGTTTGTACAGTTTTAATTTACTCACGATTATCCATGTATTTATATGTATTACGTCGAACCTAACCTAGTCGTGGCGGTCAGACTTGTGATAGTGCACAATTCATTACGCTCGATAACCTCTACGTTACAATTTTTAATTTTTCAGTCTGGATTATTAAGTGACATTTAGACATGAACATTAACAATATGTTTACGAGCCTGTTATGTTTCGGTAAGTCATTAAACTTTGATACTTTAAACCACATTCTATAGAAACAAGAACATGATCTTATTGAACAATGATAGCAGAATGTTAGTGATAAATTATTTTTTTATCGCGTATAGTATTTAGAAAATTATTAGCCTTGTTAATATCAAGTTTAGAATATATCTCGTTTAAAATGGCATGTAATATTAATTATTTTTTATTTATGAGCTTTTTTTAACATAATAAATTTTAAATTTATGAAATCTATTATATTTCATGAAAGGAGATATTACTCTAAGTTATGCTTTTTGCAGTTTTTCTGGCTTTTCAAGTGGAGTTTTACATTTAGCTTCATATTTGTAATTTTAATTTGTCTTCGAAATTTTTCTATATACAATGATTAAATAAACATCAATAAGTAATATAATTTTATATAGGGCGGCAATGCACGAAACCTTCTGCTGTAGCAAGGTGCTACGCTTCAGTTGCTGCAAATTCAGTAGATAAAGACAATATAAAACCAAAAACTGGTATATTAATGTTAAACATGGGTGGTCCTACCAATACCAATCAAGTTCATGAGTATTTATTAAGAATAATGACTGATCGTGATATGATTCAACTTCCAGTTCAAAGGTTTTAATCTGAATTTTATAGAGCTTATATATATATAGTACGAAAGAGAATATTATGTAGGAGAGATATCTTTTATAGAAATATGTTGCAGTAAATTAGGTCCTTGGATAGCCAAACGTCGTACTCCAGAAGTACAGAAAAAGTATTCTGAGATTGGTGGTGGATCGCCAATTCTACGATGGACGAATAAACAGGGCGAACTTTTATGCAAAAAACTGGATAAAATTTCGCCTGAAACTGCACCTCATAAGTATTATGTTGCCTTTCGATATGCAGATCCTCTTACAGAAGATACCCTTGAGAGGATACACAAGTACGGTTATCATATTTTCTTAGGTGTAATATAATCTAAACATGTAAACATGATTGTAGAAAGATGAAGGTAATTTGAATGAGTGTTTTTCTTTTTCAGCGATGGAGTACAACATACTGTACTTTTTTCTCAATATCCTCAATATAGTTGTTCAACTTCAGGTTCCAGTTTTAATGCTATATACAATTATTACAAAACTAGGTGATTATTATACTTTTAATCCACTTTTAGCTTAGATAAGATAATCATTAATTATAGATCGATATGAAAGATTAATTAATTATGACTCTCTTTATTCATTTATTTGATCTTATTATCTATTTTTCACATATTTATTATAGGCAGATTGCTAAATTGGAGATGCAGCAAATATTCCGTGTATTATTTCATACATGTATGTTTGCTGTACACACAGATAATATTTACATTATATATAAATTACATTATTGCTTGTTGTTTTAATATAGAATATAATAAATAAGAATAAATAGAAAATAGAATATGTTAAAATGCATACATACGAAACAAGTCTAAATTGTTTTGTAGAGAGTCACCAAATGGCATGAAATGGAGCATAATCGATAGATGGGCTACGCATCCACTTCTTGTAAAAACATTTGTCGAAAGAATTAAAGAGGAACTTGCACAATTTTCTAGCGAAAAAAGAGACGATGTGATAATTTTATTTTCAGCTCATTCTTTACCGTTACAGGTTGTTATCTTGGATTAATGTGTTTTATGTAATCACTTAAGAAATTAGTCTGATTTATCTTTTCCTGTAATTACTTTAGGTTGTAAACAGAGGAGATTCTTATCCTGCAGAAGTTGGAGCCACAGTTGCATTAGTAATGCAGGAATTAAATTATTGTAATCCATACAGCTTGGTATGGCAATCAAAGGTATATACATAAATATATGTGACTGCTGTTTAAAATTGAGCGAACTTTAGATAGCTTAGAGAATGTTTTGCGTTTAATATATGTATTACGGAGTATATATATTTAGGTTGGACCTACATCATGGCTAGGACCTTTTACCGATGAAGCGTTGAAAGGTTACGTTAAACAGGGCAAGAAAAATTTTATTTTGGTACCAATTGCATTTGTAAATGAGCATATTGAAACTCTTCACGAATTGGATATAGAATATTGCCGAGAACTTGCCGAAGAAGTAAGAAATATTGCAGTCTACTTACTGTTTAATACGATGAACAAAGAATATTTTATGTTTAATTTTTCTAGCTTGGTATTGAGACGATACGAAGAGCTGCCGCGCCTAATGATCATCCTATTTTCATCGACGCTTTGACGGACATTGTTGTGTCTCGTCTTAGATCAAAACAATCTGTAAATCCTAAATTTTTAACACGGTGTCCTCATTGTGTAAATTTAAATTGCGATGCTAGCAAAAAATGGTACGCTGAAATCTGTAAAAATTAATGATATTTGCGATTAAGTGCGCGCGAAATCATAATCATAAATATTATATTATGTTTAAGTATGAATAATAATTATTTGTATAATTTGCTGTATTAATTATACGTAATGTTATATAATGGTTTGTTAATAATTGAGTGAAAATGAAACAGATCTAATCGAATATAAATATATATTATATTTGGATATATTATATATGGAAACCGTAATAATATCGAATAAATTAAGATACTTGTTTCATTTCGTAAATCCTTCGCAAAATTCCCTTAGAATTCAATAGCTAAAGCAGCTTTGTTAACAAAGTTTTTGTTTTTTTGTATGGATACTACTAAAATAGTTCTTATTAATCTTTTCGTTCTCGATATAATCCAGGATAACTGACGTATTATTGGCTTTTAAGTGAATACAGTATCTAACTCTTGTCAATAATATAGCTTTAATCTTTATTATTTGATATACTCTGTTCGAATTTGCGCGTTCGATGTTTACTTTTTCAACGAGGTAAAAATTACAATCGTACATCAGGTGTTGCATCAGTGATCTCAATGTTACGCTTCTCCTTTGCTTGCTTACTGGCTTTGTCTTCTAAAAACATTACGACAATCAGACCGTAATAATTCTATTATTACCATACAAGAAAATTACTGCACGTCAAGCTTGATAGATATAAGACCGTAATAATCCTATTGTTGCTATACAAGAAAATTACTGTATTTTACATATCAAGTTTAATAAGTTTTCTTTAGTCATATATTTGCTTATAAGGTGTTTATGATTTTACGAATATTTTATATGTTTGGTCCTGCACAGACTTTTTTTTGCATTTATTTAAAGTTTATTGATGAAACTGTTGAAATTTTGCCAATTTATAATGCTTGAAACCTTGGAAGAACGCGAGAAGATAATTATATTATATGCATTTTAATAAACATGACAACTATTCCTTTTAAAATAAGGAACGAGATTAAATAGTTTGATTGAATGATTTAAATAATTTTTCGGTTTTCACTTAAATTTGTTTCGATGATTATTAGTTTTATTAATCATAATAAATTTATCGATGAAAGAATATTGTTATAATTTATTGTCTGTATTATTTATAACAACTTTTCTTTTGCGGTGGTTAAAGATGAACATTTAGGCGTAAAAGAATAAATTTTATTGTGTGTATATACAGCCTGAGGTCTCAGGATTAATTCTTCACTCGAGGCTTCGTCAATCTTGTCACTTGCAAAGAATGTGTTGTTACTAATATTATTTTGATTTCTTTGACGTAATTTTGATACAGTCTTTAACTGCATATATAAAAAAGACATTCAGATTCCTTTCGAAATAATTAATGTACTAAATCGGTTAGAGATTATTACAATGGGTTTCAACATACTTAAAATGGAATTTATTAATTTTTATTAAATTTTCAAGTTTTTGTTGTAAAAATTTTTTGAATTATCTATTTATTTATTTTATTTCTTTTACTTTGTGTTGTATGTCATCCAGTATATCATAATATTTATTTAAATGTATTCAGTGTAAATCATTTTGATGTATAAATACTGAACATTAGATTAAAAAAAACTCCCATTTTCTTGCACTTCTAAACATAAACTTCAAATACGATTGGTGATGAATACAAAAAATCCTCTTAACTTCTTTCCAATCATGATATAATAAGGATCAAATTTCTTGTTGCATCAAGATAGGTATCAAACAACGATGATACAGTAAAGACCAATTTACATCAAAGAAATTAGTTAATTAGAATCAGTGATTATTATTATTCCATTTTAATTGTTGATCATAGATAGAGAAGAAAATAAATTAATATTATGCTAATATTACTTTGAACCGTATAAAATAATCTTTCAAAATATTTAATGCGATATCTGCGATAGTTTTTCTCTATTGATTGATTTTTTTTAAGCACTATAATACGTTGTTTCATATTAACTGTTTTATATTAAAGTATTATGTTACAAGAATTCATAATTATCTGTTTTTATTTCTAAACCATCTTACGTAATGTCTTCAAATTAATATGGTTCAGTGATTGACTTATGAAATCTTCTAGCTATACTTAAGACATTCTCAAATATAAAAACCGTTAAATATCGATCATAAATATTAACAAGATCATAGATAAAAAACATCAGGTCAATCTTAAAATGTACTTTTATTTAATTTTTGCCATTGATTTGTTGTGAAGTTACTATTGTTTTTGTTATTAAGACACTTCTTTTCTTTCTATTGGCAGTTATATTAAGGAATATTTTTAATAACTTGTGAAAAAAGCATCGAGTTGCTCCCTCCACGTCTGCATAAAATATTAATTTTATCCAGATTAGATTGATTTGAATAAAAATTTTATAATAGAAAAATGTTTATTCTAAAGATTAATATATGTATATAGTTATTCCAAAGTTAACTTTATTTAATTGTTTATCGAGGTATACTCAATATTTTTTATGAAAATTCTGTAGATATATATATATATAAAAACATCTCGTTGAAAAGAATAATTATGATTTAAATCGTTTTCCAGTCATTATAAGGATGTCTAAATGAACGAATAATTACGAAAAATGTTATATTTATTACATTGATAATGATGAAATGAAAATATGACATTTGATATTATGATTTATTTGCCGGTATTTTCTTCGTCGTGAAAGCTTAAATCCTCGATAAACAAATCATATAAATAAAAATGAAGCAAGTACCGTACGCAAATACAATAATAGTATTTCGTTTTAAAATAAAAAGCATATAATTAAAGCACGTTCTACATTTCATACACGAATAACTTTTTGCTTTGTATTCTTTCTAATGACGATATTATATACGTATTACATCTCGTACACATGCAAACGTACATATTATAAGATACAAATACGTGTGACACTTTATTTTTATTATTTAAATAATTCAACTTTAAACAAATACATTAACATCTTTTTGCTTCGACTTTTTACAGTACTTCAACAGAAGTGTGAAAGGCAGTCTCTCTCTCGAATCTCTTCTCTCTCACTCCCGTTAATCTAATCATTCATTGTTAAAGAGCGAATAAAAGCGCTGTTGCCGCGTTAATCTCTGCATACATCATATGAGGAAATCGGCTTCTGTCAAATTGACTAAATATTTAATATGCAATTGTTTTTACGATTCTGATAAATTCTCAATGCGTGACTCAGAAAAACTCAATTTTTATGATTACGAAGCACTAAATCGCTCAAAATTACGTATTTTATATTTTATTCTTTATACTTTTTTAGATCCTTTCTGCAACTTTTCAGCCTTCTTTTTGACCTTCTTAATAAAGCAAAATCTAAAGGAGCTTAGTTTAGAAAAGATAAACTAATAGTTTTTTAATAACTAATTATAATAACTATTATTAAATTCCTATTATACATATTATACATATAAGTCATTATTTAGTAACCATAAAAGTTGTGCTTTTTTGAGGTCATGCCCATTGAGACTTTTAATCAGCATAAAAGCAATCACATAAAAGATATTAGCCAATTCCACAGAAACCGATTTCTTCTGTCAAAAAAGTGTGCGGGATTCTTTAAAGATATTTTTTGATGTTGACGCTCGACGCTCATTTTTAATGTTAAATAAAACAGGCCACGTGATCAAAATTAATACTTGATATTCGTCAGCTTTTACTACTTATTTTATAGATGGATCGGAAATCCAACTTGGGGATCAAGAAGAAGAAAAAGACCTATTTTATCGTTAAAAATGAACGTCGAGCGTCAGCATTAAATTGTACCTTAAGCTTATCTCAGCAACAACAAGCTTTTCGATTTCTTCGCAGGTTCTTTACGACGAGGGGTTTATCCCAGCGACAGCGTTGTCGTCGTTGTCGCTGCTGCCACCACCGCCGTCGTCGGAGTGCCGCCTCCACTACCACCACCACCATCACCACCACCACCGCTGCCGCCGCCGCGCTTCGACTTCGGGTATCGAACGTGAGTTGCGCGGCGCTGCTTGCCGCCGCGCCGGCACCGACCATATAAATGCGCGGCGCCGGCGGGCGCGCTCAGTATGTGTCATGCTTTGCGATCGAGCGTGTTGTCCGTGATGGCGGCCCGAGTGCGGTTGAAGATGCGCCGCGGCACCGGCGTGTCGCCGCTTGCCGTTCTCCTCGCGATGTGCGCTGTGTTGGGTCCTGCCAGTGGAATGTTCGAGCACCGACACTGCGATCATCAGCATCCACGGGCACACGAGGTAAGTGCGACGTACTCACTAGCACTACGGTGAACGATTCTAACCTCTTTCCTCGCTCCGTTCCGTGCTTACTCCGTTTTACTCCTTGTTCTCCTTTCGCCGCCTACGCGCGTACATGCTGTACATTTTGTATCTCACGATCGTCTCTAATCTTCATAGTAATATTTCTCGTCCATCGATTGTATTTCTCTATTTCCCGTCTACATCGAACGAGTTTTCACCTTGTCGAAAGGAATCTGGTCGAGCGCGACAGATCAGGTTGCTGTTCCTCGCAGTAATACCCGTTGCATGCATTGACACGTGTTCGCTCCGTCTCTGTCTCTCTCGCATGTGGCGCAGTAGCCGTTCTCCATGTGAATTGATTGCGATAACGACAGCTTTCAAATTTTGTGTTTTGACGTTTTCCTTCGTTACCCAGCCTCTCGTAGTACTTGAACGCTAAAATGACATAAATGGAGCGCAGCACACCGTTACGAATTCGTCACGGTTTGTGAACTCTTGCAGTTATGAATTTTATCGAGACATGGAATCGGTCACTTGCGTTGACTCGTAGTGATTAAAGACGTGTGTATGTACACATTTCATTTTCGCTCGACGTTTCAACGCGCCATTCATACGTTGCGCCGATAGAAGGAAGACTTCGGTGAATGTTTCCATGCGCGGCAGCGGGAGGGGGGAAACACGTGTTTTCGGAACAGCACGTGCTGCTGCGGGATGTCTCGGCGCGTTGACCTTCCACGCGCATCGCGTTTCACGGACAGCCAAGCTTGATGACGCATACGGTTTATAGCAT